ATAGTCCAGGTGAACTTTCTATAGTCCAGGTGAACTTTCTATAGTCCGGGTGTGCTTTCTATAGGAGGAAAGACAAAAACATGTAAAGATAGAAATAATTACAAGTATAAACAGAGTAGAGAGAGGACATGTGGTCAGTTTGTTCAGCAGTCTAATCTTATAGCAGCAGAACTAAGGGACAGCTCAGGAAATCAAATCTGACCTTAACTATAGGATTTATCAAAAAGAAAAGTCTTAAACTGGACAATGTGTCAGCCTCATGGACAGAAACTGGAAGTTGGTTCCACAAGTGAGGAGCCTGAGAACTGAAAGATCTGCCTCCCATTCTGCTGCTGGAAACTCTAGGAACCACAAGTAACCACAAGAAATATGTATTATGCTTTTTAAAACTTGTGTTAATGTCAGTTCATGCTAAATAACTTTTCTATACTCATGAAATGTTAATAATTATAGCTGTTCTTGTATGTTATCTGTCTAAAACAGGTCTCTCTTGAAAATGAGTCCTCGTGATTCAGTGAGACTAACCTGTAGAAATAAAGGTTGAATGAAACCTGCAGTCTGAGAGTGAAGTGCTCTGTTAGGAAAATATGGAACAATAAGATCTGTAATATAAGATGGAGCTAGGTTGTAGAGGGCTTTGTAGGTTAGAAGTACGATTTTGAATTCTCTTCTGGATTTGACAGGGAGCCAATGGAGAGAAGCTAAAACTGGAGAGAGATGATCTCTCCCAGTAACTCCAGTTAAGACTCTGGCAGCAGCATGTTGGATCAACTGAAGACTTTTTAAAGAAGTATTTGGACACCCAGATAATAAACCATTGCAATAGTCCAGTCTAGACGTGACAAATGCATGGACCAGTTTTTCTGCATCATCTTTAGATCAGATGTTTCTAATGTTAGTGATATTACGCAGGTGGAAGAAGGAGGTTCTAGTAACGTTTTTAATGTGGGGGATAAAAGACACGTCCTGATCAAAAATAACACCAAGATTTTTAACATTAGAGCTGGAGGACAGATTAATGCATCTAAGGAGGGAGAAAGACTGAAACATTCATTCCTAAGGTGCTCAGGTCCAAAAACCAAAACCTCAGTCTTGTCTGTTCAACAGGAGAAAATTAAGGGTCATCCAGGTTTTTATGTCTTTAAGACATGCTTGTAGTCTAAGTAGCTGATTGGATTCATTGGGTTTAATGGACAAATATAATTGTGTGTCATCAACATAACAATGAAAATTTATCCCATGTTGTTTAATAATTTTACCTAATGGAAGCATATATAAAGTAAAGAGTATTGGCCCAAGCACTGAACCTTGAGGAACTCCATGTCTAACTTTGGTGTATGAAGAAGATTTATTATTTACATTTACAAACTGGTTTAAACCATTTTAGAGCTGTTCCTGTAATCCCAACATCATATTCAAGCCTCTGTAGTAAAACATTGTGATCAACTGTATCAAATGCAGCACTGAGGTCTAACAGGACCAGTAGAGACACAAGTCCATTGTCTGAGGCCATGAGAATATCATTAGTGACTTTTACTAGTGCTGTTTCTGTGCTATGATGAGCTCTAAACCCTGACTGAAACTCTTCAAACAGATTATTTCTTTGTAGATGATCATGTAACTGACCTGCAACTAGTTTCTCTAGAATTTTTTAGATGAAAGTTAGATTAGATGTAGGTCTATAGTTGGCCAGGATTCATGAGTCAAGGTTATATTTCTCATGAATGCATTTCTACAGGAAGGATATTTTAAAATAAAGTTAAACACTTTGAAACATTTTCAAACATTTACAAAAACCCAAAGTCACAGCAGCCACCTCCTGAATGAGCCGAACATTTTGAAGCAGCTGAAACAGCAGAGTCTGCAGAAGCTGATCATAAAAACAAACCAAAACAAATCAAAACCTGGAAACCAACAACAAATGTTCACGTTTCTGTTTGAACTCGTGGTTTTAATAAAACCAGTTGAACGACCAAGTTCAGCTCGTTTACCGTAAACTGGAGCAGAAGAGTTGTGGCAACAGCTCGAGCCTCCTGACAAAACTAAATCCAGTCCTGGTTCCAACAAACGCTCCGTGATTGGACTGAAAACAGAAAAAGTTTAATATCACCGACAGAGCTGCTGTTTTTATTCAATGAGGCGTTGCATTTAAAACGTCTGCTGCGCAGTTTGATTATTTATTCTCTAAAGCTTCTGGAGTTATAATAAAATAAACAATTTCAGTGTTTTTGGATTAAAATTAATAAAATTTCACACATGAAAATTGAAGTATGTTCTTTATAAATATGACAAATGCAGAAATATGTCTCATAGTTTCATGAATCCTCCAAACAACGATTAAAAGTAAAAGTTCTTCGGTTCGATCCTTCAGATTAGTGTGAAAAATAAAACGACTGATAACGTTTCAATTGTTTAAAATCTAAATAAATATTTGAAGTGTGTTCTTGGTGAAAGGAACGCTGATACTTCTGTTAAACTTTAAGCCCGTGTTATTGTGAGCTGCTGATAATGAGGTCAGGGAGCGGGAACAATACGAATCGAGGTCATTTAGACGTTTCTGTCGTCTAAACACACGTATGAAGGCTCAACAAGCCGAAGGAGGGGACGTTCGGCTGCTTCTTTCCCATAAAGAAGAAAGATCACCTTCCTGTCTCGCCTCATCGACGTAAACCTGCACCACACTCACTAATCCTCTTCACGGAAACTCTGCTTTCCATTAATCTGACGCAGCACCCGAACGCATCACCTGCCACAAAGATCTGAGCAGGTGATCCCTTCGAACACAACACGACGGGTCAGGGCGAAGCGTTTCATCTGAATCTGTTGGGTCCAAACACAACTTCTGATCAGCTGACACATCTGCAGCTGATTCAAAATGGCCGCCACAGCCAACTGGCGTGAGGAAATAGCACCGTAACGCTGTAATGCTGAGCTTGGAGTGGTAGTAGCTCAGAGTAATTCACAAAACTGAGACCAAGTGCCACCACATGCTTAAAACGCTGCCCTCGCTGGGATCAGCCTTGTCTGTCTGTTAGCAAAATATCTTGTGAATAATTGAACAGAATCCGGGGGTGACTGGATGTAGGTCATCAACTGATTACCCTTTGGTGTCGACCCAATTCAAGACCGTCAGGACGTCTAATCAAGCTCGGAGCCTAAATCCTAAACCCGGATGGTTTCACAGGTACGGAGCTCAGACTCGGAGTGGTAGTAGCTGAGAGTCGTGCACAGCAAACACTCAGAGCATCTTCAACACTGCACTCATGCTCAAGGTCCCACCAAACTGACAATAACTGCACTTCTAATCACAAGACGATCGTAGGGTGATGTGCAGTTTCAACAATTTGATTTTACTTTATCTTTACAAACAAACAAACAAACAAACAAACAAACAAACCAGGGGCTGAAAGGATCCTATGACTGTTTGCTCCCAGCAGCATGGTCATTTGTACAGGAGGTCCCTGCATCAGACAGCTGGAGGTCTCTGACCAACCCTGAACTCAAAATTCAACATGGCCGCCGTGAGGCAGCTGCCCCAGAGATAACTTTTATTTTCACTTCTGTCACTTTGTTTCTCAGTAAATACAGAACAAGAAGAAACATGTTGCAGACCTGATCACTTTCATTATAGCTTATAATAATAATAATAATAATAATAATAATAATAATAATAATAATACTGTAATAATAATAATAATAATAATAATAATAATAATAATAATAATAATAATAATAATAATGTAATAATAATAATAATAACGTAATAATAATAATAATAATAATACTGTAAGAATAATGAAGAGGGAGCTGAGCTGCAGGAGAAACTCCCTGTTTACCGCTCAGTCCATGGTCCTCCCTCACCTCTGGTCCTGAACGCTGAGTAGCGACTGCAAGAACCAGATTCTGGATCCAGGAGGTCTAAATGAGTTCTCTGTGCAGGGTAGGTGGACTCTCCCTTAGAGATCGGGTCAGAAGTTCAGTTCTCCAGGAGCATGGACGTGGCAACAATTATATGTGGAGGGGACGTGTCCCGGGCAGCACGGTGGCACAACTGGTAGAGCTGCTGCCTCTCAGCGAGCAGGTCCCTGGTTCAAACCCCAGTCCAGGGGCCTTTCTGGGTGGAGTTTGCATGTTCTCTCCGTGCATGATTGGGTTTTCTCCAGGTACTCCAGTTTCCTCCCACAGTCCAAAAACATGCATGTTAGTCTGATTGGTAACTCTAAATTGTCTCTAGGTGTGAGTGAGAGAGTGAATGGTTGTTTGTCTCGTTTGTCTCTATGTGTCCCTGTGATGGACTGGAGACCCGTCCAGGGTGTCCCCCGCCCCTCGCACAGTGATTGCTGGACATGGGCACCAGCGACCCCCGTGACCCAAAATAGAATAAATGGGTAAAGATAATGGATGGATGGATGGATGGATGGGGACGTGTCCCCCCACATTTAAAAATATTCATTCAGAACCCCCCCCCCCCCCCACACACACACACACACACATTTCATTAAACATTAGTTCACCCAGTGCTGTTTCTGTTTCTTCATGAACAAATCCATTCCACTTGATTAATGGGAGCATATTCAAACCACTAAAAGTCCACTCCAGGTTTTTGTGGTTACCTACAACAACTCACCTCAAGGTCATCTGCCTTGACAGGGAGCTGAGGGGGGAGGAGGGGGAGACACCTCTGTTTTGCGTACTAGCTTAGCGCCACGTTAGTGCTGTCAGTTATTGACGGGGTGGGGGGTTAGGATGTGTGAGAGAAGCAGAGCGCTACATCTGTAGCATCTTAGCTAACGTGTCTGTATTGCATACCGCTAGCTTAGCGTTACGTTAATTCTGGCAGTTTTCGACATGGGGTGGGCGGGGCTAGGATGCTTGAGAGAAGCGGAGCGTGCTCTGTTCACACAAGGAGAGCTGTTGGTCAGGCTACTTCTTGTTGCTCTCTAAAATAGTTATTGAATCAAGTGTTTACATCTGTAGGTAAACGTAGACAACCCGTTAAAATACACCAGAATGCAGGAAAGGGAATCGTGTACAATTGTCCCTCGATATTTCACAGTTCGTTTTTCTCTGACTCGCTCTATCGCAGTTTTTCAAAATAAGATTGGACGTGACACACAATTGGCTGATGGATGGATGAGCCTGAAGGTTGGATGAAAGGATGATAGAAGTTTTTTATTCAACCTTTATTTCTACAGGTTCGTCTCATTGAGTCTCGGGGACTCATTTAAAGAGAGACCTGATTAAGACACAGAATGAAGACAACAATAGACAATCACATAAAAACTAATAAATTGAAAAAAATGGAAGAAAATAATTTAAAAAAGCTAAACAAAAACAGCTACATTATAAAGTGATATAAAAACAGGAACATGTCTGCATTGGTTTTTGCCATGAACTTGAAGATGGATGATGGATGGATGATAGATGGATGATGGGTGGATGAAGATGGATGGATGGATGGAGGATTAGATGAAGATGGATGGATGAAGATGGATGGATGGATGGAGGATTAGATGAAGATGGATGGATGAAGATGGATGAATGAATGGACGATAGATGGTGCAGCTTCCTGTCTGAAGTCAAGGCCCAACCTCCTCCAGCTGGCATTGGACAGGTTTGTCCTGTCCAGGGGGACATGTTGGGGACTGGTACGCTGAACTCCTCGTTTTGGTGTTTAGATGTTTCCAGGGCGTCCTTGCTGCTCCGCTGTTCCACCGTACGTGGTTTCAGACCCGTTCATGGCCTGATGGAGCCTGAAACTTCTGACCTACCAGGTCCCTGGTCTGGTTCTCCCTAAAGTCCCTCACCAGTTCCTCCAGTAAACTGAACTCTGAGCTGGTGACAAGGAGGTCTGAAACCACAAACTGGTGTCAAACCCAAGTCCTGGTTTTAGACTCTGGAGCGTCCCTGCAGGAAGTAACGGTTCATGTGTACAACGCAGCTCGTCCTGTTGCCGTCTCATCTTCTCTGTTTATCTTTGCAGCATCCCCTGACTAATGGAGGGACGGGGTAAACACTGGGAGGAGACGGTGGAGCAGCGGAATGGGCAGAGCTTCACCTGCCGTAGAAAACTGGATCCTGGACTGAGAGCAGAGCAGTCTGAGGACCATCATGGTCAGGGGACACCTGGACGTAAGGAACAAAGACACCTGAGGGAGCGGAATGAGAATCTGAGAGCGCCGACAGCTGAAATCAAACCTTTGGACCAAACATGGCGGCAGCTTCAGTTCTTCTTCTCTGCGCTCTGCTGATGTTCTCTGGAGGCCCGAGTCTGGCCAACGTGGCTCCAGTACCGGTGGCCCCGGCTGAGACCTCGAGCGCTGCCAACGAGACGGGGAGCGGCTCGGGCCACGGAGCAGCAGCGATCACCACGCTGCCCATCGTGACGTGGAAGTGGCACCACGTCCAAGAACCGTACCTGGTGGCCCTGTGGGTCCTGGTCTGCTGGCTCTGCAAACTCCGTGAGTCCAGATCCGTCCTGGCTGCAAACCAAAAACTGACTTTAGTTTCTCTAGCAAACATTTAAAACTTACAAAAAAAATTATAATCTGATCTGATGGAACTTGTCTGAAATAAAAAGATCAGAAAATTTAAATTAAAGAAGTTTGGAACAAATTATTATTGATTATTGAACATGAACTTTGATGATTGGAACAAATTATTATTGATTATTGAACATGATCTTTGATGATTGGAACAAATTATTATTGATTATTGAACATGAACTTTGATGATTGGAACAAATTATTATTGATTATTGAACATGAACTTTGATGATTGGAACAAATAATTTAACCGTTTTTATTTTACTGGTTTTAAATAATCAAACTTCTTCTGTGCTATTTTACCTTGTTATAAATCCAAAGTTTTAGCTCATGTATGAAATGCAGTTAGCATCTTTTTTTTTTATAAATCTATACTTTTTAAAAATATTTAACTTGATTTACAACAAAAGGTGCTTAATAAAATAAACACATTCTGATCCTTGAGAAACATCGTTCCCTTTGAAATGTTTCTTCTGCTCATCTGCAGACCAACTGCTAACGCTAACTCTAGTACAAATTCAGCTAAAAGTTCTCCTAACTTAGCTTTTAGCTAGCATTTAGCTGTGTTTGGCTTTGAGCTTCTTCAGCAGAACTCGTGTCCTCGCTGTCCTTCATGTGAACCACAATGTAATGTCTTTAGTTATAATTCAGTGTTTATGTGAGCACGATGACACTTTTAACCTGTGCGACGTTTGTTTAGTGACAAAACAACAGCTGCGATACTTTACACGCTCAGCTAACAACCTTCAGCTGTTACAATGATCACTTACTCATGCATATATTTAAACACACACACACAGGGGGAGTGGTGGTGCAGAGGCTAGAGAAGGTGAGCCCGCGATTGGAAGGTCGCCGGTTCGCTGTGGCGAGTCGACCCCTGAAGAAGGGAGCAGCCGAAAGAATAATATATATATATATATATATATATATATATATATATAATCCTTTAAGTCGATGGTATTTTGAAAATTGCTGTTCTTTTTTATTTTATTTTTCCACTTTCAACCCATACCCTCGCCCCGCCCCCAAACAAAACGTGCATCTTGATCAGGAACATTGCACTCTGACTGTCCTACGATGAGAAAAAACTGGTAAAAAAAAAAAGATTCATAACTGTCCCCATGTCCCTGTAGACATCAGTGGTGTTTAGTTGTAGCGAGCGTTGAGCCCAGGCCCGTTTGGATCTCCAGCTCAGACGTCAGAACCTTCAGTCAGAGTTTAAACGGGTCACAGGAAGTTGGACTTTCCACTGTTTTCAGATCTTTAACACTTTTTACACAAACGCAGCTGAACATCGAGGAGTTTACTGATTTTACCAGAAAACGTTCAACTCCATTGTTAAAACTTGAAAAATTTCACGGCATCCACACCTTGATGTCATCAAGACATTTTAGCAGAGAGAGAATGGAGCAGGAACTGTTGGGTTTTAAGGGCAGATAAATCTGACAATCATCAGCATAACAGTGGAAAGAAAGACCGTTTCCTCAAGATAGACACCAAAGGGAGCAGATACAGTGAAAACAGAAGGGGTCCAAAAGTCGAGCCCTGTGGAACCCCGTAGGAAAGAGGCACTGAAGCAGATAACATATTACCAACATTAACACAGAAGCTCCTGTCACTCAGATACAAACAGAACCACTCTAATGCTGCACCAGTAATCCCAGCCCAGTGTTCTAACCTCTGTGCCACCACTCCCAAGTTCAAGTACGACCACTAAAACCCCAAAATGGCTTCTTTGATCCAAAATGGCCAACCTTCTGCTGGGTCTTCAGGAGACTCTCTTGGTGAGTCCTACATGTGGACCAGATCTCAGCCTTTCACATTAAGTCAAAAACATCAAAGTAGACACTGTTGAGCCAGTTTTCCTCTTTTAGAAACCTTTAAAATAGAATTCCAATCCTGGTCCTGGGGAACCTCGATCCTGCACGTTTTAGATGTTTCCCTGCTCTTCAGCGGGTCTACAAGTTCTGCAGAGCCGTTACTCCCTCCTTCTTCCAGATCAGGCGTGTCCAAGCAGAGAAACATCTAAAACGTGCAGGACAGTGGACCTTCATGACCAGAATTGGACACCACTTTAGTGGTACTAAATCCATGAATTAAAAACCTGGACTTGACCCTCCAGCTTGTTCAAACTTCAGACCAATCTCCAAGCTTCACTTTCTTTCTAAGAGCAAATAGTTTTTATTCAACTTAATGAGTTTCTGAATGAGAATGGATTTTTAAAATCTTTCCGTCTGGTTTTAAACACAGCCCTGAAACAGCTTTAGTTAGGGTTTAACAACATCCTTTTAGCGAATGACTCTGGTCAGTCTGTGATCCCGGTGCTCCTGGACCTTACCGCTGCTTTTGACTCTGTTGACCACAGTATCCTTGTCTAGGCTGTGGTAGCTCAGTGGTCTGTGGTTGGTCAGGAAGGACATCCAGTGTAAAAACAATCACCAAGTCTTCATGAGGGTTAGTTCTCTGTGGTGACCCCTGAAGAAGGAGCAGCCGAAAGAAGAAGAAGAAAAAGTGGTCGTACTTGAACAAACTCCTCTTGGAGCAGTCATGAAGAGGAGGGGGTCTGGCTTGGGCACCTCAGGGTCTCATCTCTACTTTATGCAGACGATATGGTTCTGCAGGATTGAAGGGGGGGCTCGAGGTAGAGCTGCTGCTCCTCTGCATCAAAGGGAATCAGTTGAGGAGGTTCATCTGATCCTCCTGGATAATTCAAGGCAATTCCTACTGGAAGGAGACCCAGGGGCAGAACCAGAACTGCATCCTCTCTGGTCTGGGAGCATCTTGAGATCTCCTAGAAGGAGCTGGAGGTCTGGAAGTCTTTCCTAGACCTGTTACCTTCTTGCCTTGGCCGTGAAAACTGGAAAGAAGATGAATGAATGGACAGATGGAATAAGACCTGTGTGATCGCAGCACCTGTGGACAAACTGAAGGAGGTCCAGAGTTTTACTAGATCCACAACTTGTCTAAAAGCTCTTCATTATGTCAGATTTTCACAATAAAGATCATAAATACACTTCAAAATAAGAGTTTTAGTTTCAGTTGCATCATCAATGAACTCAGAAATGATCAGAAATCATCAGTCGTGTCCAAAGCTGGAAGGATGACTGCAGAGGGAGGGTCTGTGATCGTGTCCACATTCCACAACTCGTTTCTGAAATCAGAAAGTGCGTCAGACATTTTGAACTCTTTCTGCGTGTGAGATTTAATATCAGGTTAAAGTTACTTATTCAGTCATTAAAGACGGAAACAACGGCATCAGGGCCACCTTTGAGTAAAGTCGTCAAACGAGCTGGTCTGGGTTCAGAGGGGGAGGAGACGGTGGAGCAGCAGAACGGGCAGCGCTTCACCTGCTGAAGAAAACTGGATCCTGGGCTGGGAGGAGAGCAGACGGAGGACCATCATGGTCAGGGAGCACAAACACCAAGACACCTGAGTGGGAGGAACCAGAGTCTGAGCGCACCCACAGCTCAAGGAACAAGACCTTTTGGACCAAACATGGCGGCATCTTCAGCTCTGCTTCTCTGTGTGCTGCTGATGTTCTCTGGAGGCCCGAGTCTGGCCAACGTGGAGCCATCACCTGGGACTGTGGTGTCAACCGCTGGACACAAGACAGAGACGGTGGCAGAGACAGAGACGGGGAGCAGCTCGGGTCACGGTGCAGCAGTGATCACCACGCTGCCCATCGTGAGGTGGAATTGGCACCACATCGAAGTCCCGTACCTGGTGGCCCTGTGGGTCCTGGTCTGCTGGCTCTGCAAACTCCGTGAGTCCAGATCAGTCCTAACCCTAAACCCTAAACCCTAACCCAGTCCAGACTTCATCAAAACTAAAACATAATAATAATAATAATAATAATAGTAGTAGTAGCATCAATATAGTAATAATTATAATAATATTAATGATAATTATAATAATAATAACAATAATAATGATAATAATTCTGTCTTTGCTTCTTTAAATTGAACCAATAGCTCAAAAATTCAAAATAACTCAAAACAAACAATCAAACTTTTCTAAGAAGTTTTAAACACAAAATTGACAGATAATAATATATTTATATATTTTTTATTTTAACTGCTGTTTTATCCATTTAGCACAAAATAAATAAAATAAATCAAATGCCGTTTATTATAAAAGTGTAAAAACTAAACTTTATGTGCATTAATATTTGTTTACTTTAATGCGGAGACAAAAGTTTTAAAGTGATTTTATCCCAGAGTTCATTATGACTTCATGCTGAGTCATGTTTTTCCCTCAGATATTTTTATTCTGCAGGTTTTGTCGTGGTTTTCCTCCGATCCTCCTGATCCGTCAGGCTCCTCGACCTTTAGAGGAGGAGGATGATGCAGAAACCTTCCTCCTGCTCCTCGTTTTTCGTTTGTTCAGCTGTTGTTCTCGCAGTGACGCTGTTTGTCCTCCACTGATCAGCTGTTAATGACCCTCAGAAATGAAACATTAAATAAATTACTCCAGTCAGCTGGTCCCACCTGACTCAATGTTTTAAATTAATTATTAATCTGAAGCTTTGATCAAATATTTCCTGGACCGCAGCCGAGTTTTCCAAACGTACACGGAGCCGAAAAAACCTGAAGTTCATTACAAACAGCACAGATTCAGGTACGGAAAGCACCAAGGGACAGTCTTTATTCAGTGAACAGAAAAGCTGGAATAAATCAGAACATTTAGTTTATTAATTAAATTAATTAAGATTTAGTTTATAAATTAAACATTCACATTGAATAAATACAATAAAAGCTGTTTTTTGTCAGTAAGAAACAAACTGAAAGCAACAACTCTCAGACTGCTGACAGGTGTGAGACAGGTGTGTGTTTGACAGGTGTTTGTGAGTGAGACAGGTGTGAGTGAGGCAGGTGTGTGTGAGGAGTGAGTGAGACACTTGTGTGTGAGACAGGTGT